AGACCTGTCATCTAAATTAAACATTTAGACCTGTCATCTAAATTAAACATTTAGACCTGTCATCTAAATTAAACACTTGGACCTGTCATCTAAATTAAACACTTGGACATGTCATCTAAATTAAACATTTGGACCTGTCATCTAAATTAAACAATTGGACCTGTCATCTAAATTAAACATTTGGATCTGCCATCTAAATTAAACACTTGGACCTGTCGTCTAAGTAAAACACTTGGACCTGTCGTCTAAGTAAAACACTTGGACCTGTCATCTAATTTAAACATTTGGATCTGCCATCTAAATTAAACACTTGGACCTGTCGTCTAAGTAAAATACTTGGACCTGTCGTCTAAGTAAAACACTTGGACCTGTCATCTAAATTAAACACTTGGACCTGTCATCTAAATTAAACATTTGGACCTGTCCTCTAAATTAAACATTTAGACCTGTCAACTAAATTAAACACTTGGGCCTGTCGTCTAAGTAAAACACTAGGACCTGTCATCTAAATTAAACACTTGGACCTGTTATCTAAATTAAACATTTAGACCTGTCAACTAAATTAAACACTTGGGCCTGTCGTCTAAGTAAAACACTAGGACCTGTCATCTAAATTAAACACTTGGACCTGTCATCTAAATTAAACAATTAGACCTGTCATCTAAATTAAACATTTGGATCTGCCATCTAAATTATAAACACTTGGACCTGTCGTCTAAGTAAAACACTTGGACCTGTCATCTAAATTAAACACTGAACTGAACACATAACAAATTTAGCCATCAAGATTAGTTGACAATAAAGATGGACTAATAGAACAAGTACAGTATTCAAGAAAATGTACGTGATGTTTATTTTTACAATCAGTTTACCAGTAACTGTTGATTGTTTATATTTAACTGAGGTCATGAATATTCATCTAGATTAAGTAATTGACTGGTAGTGGTTAACCCATCAACTGAATGTCTTATTTAAAGAACGATGCAACATATAGTTCATTTGTTTTCAAAGCACCATTCATATTACTGATGAAAAATATG